AAGTAAGAAATGGTACACCATTACTAACGTCATAAAAATTTCCTGCCATCAAAATGAATAGTAAATTTCTCGCACATTTCAAATCATATCATAGTCACCACAACTAATTCCACACCCAAATTTGATCAAACTACGCAATCAAAAAAGTGCCATCTTCTTCAACACGCTCCTCTTCAGCACAAGACTTCCACCTCAATACCCCCAGCAAGCCCCCCTCGCAACACTCCGCAACTCGTTCTTACAACGGGGACAATTGATCCAGTAACTTATAGACTTCAGGTGCTGCTTACGCTTGCTGCAAGGGGTTGTGAAGTATTTTTCTGTGGGCTTCCCACCCTCGTCCTCACCGTCCATAGAGGTAAAAAAGGGTGATTGTGGTGTTGTGGGTTCCGAGTCTCCAGGTCTAAAAGTGGGGGAGGATTGGTGGCGGGAGTGGAATGGGGGGGAGAGGGAGAGAGGAGGTTCTGCTGGGAAATCTGGGAAATTGTCGTCCAGAGGTTCTGGCGTAGGTTCCTCTGTTGGGAAATGGTTGGTTAAGGGCAATGTTTCGACGAGAGGTTCGGGCTCCGCTTCTGGTTCTGGATACGCGGTAGTAGCTAAGCGCGAGGTTTCTGTTTCTTCACCATTTATTAACCTCTTTCCCTTCTTCCTGTTGTACTTCTTTTTCATAAACTTTCTCGCTCCAATCGATATATCCCAGTCACATTCCTGACCGGCTAGTTTTGGTTCTGGTTGTTCCGAATATCCCCGGTATACGACTTCGTGGAAACCTGGGTTTGGGTTTGATATGGTTTGCTGGGGCGGGGAAAGAGGAGGACCCTCATCTTTAGGGGCAGCGGGTGGCTCTGGAATATGGTTTGCAAGTTCATGATCGCCCCCATCACCATTCCAGTGCACCGTTTTCCCTTTCTCGTAATCAGTTTGGGACGGACTTAGCGGTTCGTCCAATTGATGTTGCTCACTGGTATCGTCAAATGACTGTTTGTCTTCAAGAGCGAGAGATTTGCTCTCTTCCACCACCAGTGGTTCGGTTAGTGTTGTGAATAAATCAACAGTCAAATTGCCATGTTCATTCTTAAAGACGTCAAGAAGCCAAGTCTCCCGGACAAGGTTAAAATTGTTTTTCATCGCGCGCCTCGTCTCATGCATGAACTTGGCTCGATACATGTCATTTCCGTCGTCTTCGCGGAGTTTTGGGTACGCCTTCTTCGCAACGTCAAGGATATTCCAATAGGGAACTTGCGTCATGTTTTTGATATATCCTATGGCAAGCGCAGCAAGCCTGTCTATCGCATATTCCCGGGCGAAGCAGTAGACAAGAGAATGGATTTCAAAATCCAAGCCGATGTCGGAGCACAGGGCACTATCCTCTGGCGTCGGTAGGATTGTGGAGCTATACGAACAAACCTGGTAGTTTCCAGTATACAGAAACCTTAGGGCCAGTTCAAAAACCACCGGACTTGTATCGTCTAAAGATAGACTATGACTTTTGGCTGTTGTTGCAGGACATATCTTACTGATGAGGGAGGACGACTGGCTGAGGATGCCCAAATGAGCACCGAATGTTCTCTGTTCGCCAACTGGACCGACGGAAACCCAAATAATTTCTGTTTCATAGGGGCTAAGGGGGTAAATGGCATCGGATCCATCGAGCATGAAGGCAGGGTGAAGCTCTGGTGGATCGGTTTTGATGAGAACAGGGTCTGTAGCGTGAGGGAGATTCTGGAGCAGAGGCGGATTCTCTTCTTTCATATCCACTTTGTCTACTGCATCTCTCTCGGTGGAATTAGCGTCAGTGATCCAAGGGGGCCCAATTACTGGCATTAGAGAATACTTAACTGGATTGTTCAGTCGTTGTGGTCACTGTCGGTTTAACCTTCTTCGTCTTCTTCTTTTTGAAGGACACATCGGCCATCTTGAGCAGGATCCTTCAATTCAAATTATCTAGAGAGGATGAGGCAGATGTTGGTTAGCCTTTTGATTACACAACGCTGGAACAACACGTTCGCTGGCGCATTGATGGATAGTTATAATAGCTGTTGACACCCCTCAGTCCTTTTCTATGAGCTACGCCCTGGGCCAATCAAGGACAGCTCTCTCTCATCATCATATTTCCCGAACAAGCGGGGTGCGTCCGGAAAAGGTGCAAGTTTTGCAGCCTGCAGAGCAGTGAGTTCTTCCGCATTGGAAGCCTCGTCTTGGAGACCTCAGTTCTCTCCTTTTCCACCGAGAGGATATGCGTGTTTGCCCTCTTCGATGTGCTGTGACTCCCTCATTGGTTTAATAAACAGAGATTGCATGCATTTGGATACATCCATTCATGCGCCTTCTTAGCCCATGGTGCTATGAAGGAACCCAGGCCCAACCGTAGCCCAATTGCAGATAATACAAAATTGACCGGTTAAAAGTTGCTGTGCCGCCTGTGGACAACATTGAATGGCTCGGAGCGGAGACAATATACCGTAAGAATCCCATTAGTATCAGCATTCTGAACAGGAATCAATCTCTCATCTCGACTGTACGGATATCCCCACTCAGTCAAAACGCACTGACATTTATTTAGAGAAGACGCAAATCTTTGAATGGTTTGCGGGTGATGTAATTTGTTCGTGGAGGGTCGAAGCCGCGCATCCGTAAGTCTCCATACTGAGTGAAAGGACCTGGGTCATCATCTATCAGTAACGTTGAGGAGTGACAGCCCGCAGTAAACCGTGCAAAAGAGCCATCTGCAGTCGGCTCAATATTGAGAAGTAAATGCAAATACGAAGTGGGAATACAGTTGACTGAACATGCATTCAGAACAGGATTTGCCGCAAACGACTGGATAGTTGATTTGTTAGGCCCTTTATATTTTAGCAGCCTTGATTGAAAGCCTGACCCAACCCAGAAGCTGGGGAAGCGCATGCATGACCCCCTAGCAGTAGTTTGATTTATACAGGGATAGAATTTTAAAACAGAACAACTATTCCTGGTGTAAACAGACTTTGCTTCCATGAAGCTTGGAAACTTCACAACTTATGTTATTCGCGGACAAACCCACACCCTAACTAAATAGTTAAGGAGTCACTATTAGTTAGTGGGAAACGACCTTGTCTATGCATCGCTACATCCGAGCAGCACGTCTGGCGGACACTAATTAGTTACGAAGAAGTTGCACCAAGTGAGGCTTTGATGTGGCTGCGTGCCAGTCACCAGTACGGAGCAATGCGTGTTTTCAACCATGAAGGCCAGCAATTCGAGCGAATGATGTTGATATCACAACGGTGTCGAAACCGTTTCGAAACCGTGTCGAAACCGTGTCCCAGAGAAGCAAAGCCCATCAGTCTCCTCTCAGGGCCAAAAGACTGACCGCATTACTTGTCATGGTGCATATATGCCAGCTTGAAACATACTATTCGTCCACCGGTATCTGTCTGGCCTTGGTAGGTAAAATTATCGAACGCGATGGAGGTTTACATTACACGACTGCCATTTACCACTTGGTGAGAAGCACCAATACGCAAAGCGTTACGTCCGCTTCGACATTGACGAGCTATATGATCTCGTTGCATTAGATGTTGGTAATGTGGCAACTCATCAGTTGTACGGTTGATAAAATGGAAGGGAGCTTTCACAAGACTCTTTCTTTGATGGCTCTCACCAGTGGCGCTGAGATTATAGTCAAAGTTCATTTCTCAAATGCAGTATTTTCTAGCGTGCCCACCGGGTTGAGAAATGGCTGTGTTTCTCATACCCAAGACCATCTGGTGTGTTGGCCTTCAAATTTGGCAGTGAAGCAGCTTATGCCTCTGTGCTTAAATGCGGCAATGACAATTCTGGTCCATGGTTACCAAGCATCCGATGCTTGCGGGAAGCTCGAGACCAGTTCTATTGCACACAGTTTTACACAAGGGAAACATCTCTTTTTTCAGAACAAGATCCGACAAATGTTACCAGCAGCATTGACTGGCATTCGATCTCGATCTCGCCCATATTTATGCAGGCCCGGTGGCCTACAGGTTTTGAGCCTCCTGAGGAATATGCTGCTGCTGGGCTGAACACTTCCCAAACGGCCATTATATTTCGACCAATCGAATCCAGAAGGAAGAGAAGCACCTGTTGTGCCTGAAAAGACGGACAACACTCTCTAAGGCATATGGAATTGGCACAGAACATTATAGTGGCACTTATACTGCCTTACATGTTCCATGGGACTTGAGAGAGTTGTTCGTGCATAGCGGATATACACGTCCACTAAATGTATTGATACGCTTCGTTCACATCTGGTTCGACTGATAAAGCATTGGCTTCACTTAGAACCTGGTGAACCTTGTCTAGTTAAATTTACCAAAGAAGAACTCTCACAGCTCGAAGAGGAGTTTTCTGAGTATCGAGATTGGTACACTCGCCGAGAAACAATAAAGGATGCATTACCGATGCAGAGGGTTTGATTTCTCCAAAAGGTTGACGGAAAGAATAAAACAAACAACTCCGGCAATCATAAGCAAAATGTCGGCGGAAAGAAGCGCAAAGGCCGAAGAAATGTGGTGGTTTCCCTGTAAATGAGGCTGTGGTGTGTGTTTCTTCAGTAGCAATGACCAGAGCGCAAAACATTTGGGAGACTCAGAAAAGGTCCTTAAAAAAGGGAATTTGATTCTCATGGCTTTGCCTGCTATCTCCTCTATCATGAACTTTGAATGATGAAAGTCTGCGTTTACTGGGAGCCTGCTTAGAGCATGGATCCTTGATATCTAGTTCTTCGGGCATTGAAGAATTACAATATCAAAGAAGTCTGAGAGGCGGGAAAGTCTTTCAAGGTACGCCTGGAATATGTCCCAGGTTTGACAGAATGAATACATCTTCTGCTAATTTTTTTTTTTTTTTTTTTCCTTTTAGGGGTTTATAATTCGATAACCGACGGCATCAGATTCTCTCCACCACGGTTTCTTGGGTATTATGCGTCGATTGAGCCATAGTTTCGTATGCAAAGCGGCCTCTGAACGGTTCCTGGATTCGGTCTGAAGCCTTTTAAGTCTCGCGGCTACGTTCGGCGACTCTGCTTGACCCCAGAGTCCAGTCCAAACTCCGCAATAGGAGGAACAGAAAATGGAGCTCGGGGTAGTTCGGCCAGTCAGACATAGGGCCACGGAACTTTAATATCTTTAATTGCGGGACCTCAAGTTAACAAAAATTGGGCCTCGTCATTCGTGTGCTCAAGGTTCACATGTACGAATTTTAGCATTTTCGAGGAAAATATTGGTTAATTAGCTAAGAATTAACTACCCTGGGCTCAGCGCCAACCAAGGTTGTGCCATTCACATGAAACCAGTTCCTGCATTGTGGCTGAACGTTGAGAATAATAAGCATGAGTCGAACGACCAAGAAACGAAGCGCGTCAGCAATTATGGAATTGCCGGGGCTGGTGAGGCGTCGACAAAAATGCTTAAAAAGTTCTTCTACCACGATCCCAATTATCCCAAATCATTAATCCTAGGAGATCATTTTCCTGCTCCTTTCGCGGCAATAATGGCTGAACCAACGCATTTCCATGAATCACTAACCCGCTCCGGAGTCTAAAATCTGGGGTCTCAACGCAAAGTAATCAATCGATATTTAATTCGCCATCCCATTTCCCCAGGTTTGCGGGGACTCCTTCGCACCCTTACCACACAAAACCACCACAACCTCCACCAGGATTCCAGTCGCCTTGACTAGAACAAGAGAAACATGGCCGACCTTGGCTTTCCCCGTTCCACCCTGGATTTTGCAGTTCAGAACCGAGATCCTGCAAGAAAAGAAAAGAAAAGAAATTAAAAAAAAAAAATCCATCTATTGGCATAGAGCGAGCGCTGTTTTCGACTAACACACTTAAAACAATGCCGATATCGTCGGCACTGAGTTGTGTTGTCCAAAAATCAGCGCTTACCTGCGGCAGTTTTTAAAAAAAAAAAGAGAAAATAGAGGAAACAAACCGGCTGCAAGTTAAACGAACAAGTTGTGCAAAAGCGAAAAATAATGTAGCTAGGTAACTCTACGCTGTATCCTTGTTGACAAGCTGTCCCCAGGTGATCTTCCGGTTGTGAACCCCATGCGATTCCCCATGCGATTATTGCAGGGCTGCAACTGGGATCTCAGATCTAAATATGGCGCCCTTTGCTGAATCCTCACCACCCGCAGAGTGTCACGACATGGAACGTTGGAAGGGCTATCAGGTGGGCATGGAGCTCACGAGAGGTGTGGAATCATGATTCAGGCCGTGAATGCAAAAAAAAAAAACCCAGGGCTAGTAGCTAATCATGCAGAGGTTTGCCGGGGCTTGACAACGCCGAGTAGTTATACGAAAGCCAAGTGCGGCATATCCATTTTTCTAGAAGGCTAAAAAAGTTACTCCTAAGAGCTGAATTAACTAACATCTTGAGGAATGACTCTAGAGTGTCTGTTTTGCATGCCCATGCATCTCTTATTGGTGGGGATTGCTCGTAATTAGTTGAAACTGCACGGAATGCCGATCCCTGTGCCTGACTTGAATACCCCTCAAAAAGGGAATATGACAGCTGTTGTCTTAATTCTCCCGTTTTAGCTGGGGAGTTTTGTACTGAACCGTGTGAAAAGTGTTGCTGGGCGTCCTTCACTCACCCGCGGCAAGAACTATAATAAATCAACACATATTAGACACGGCTGGTCCTCTTCGTCGATAATTTAGATATTTATCTGCCAGTCCGCAATGCTCTCCACTGTCCGTTGACAGTTAACACAGTCTCTGAACCTGCCCGGCGCAAAGCCGTTCTAGCATTCCCCTGTCCAGCTATCCAGCTACACAGCTGAACAGCTGCTCAGATATTCAG